ATCTAGTACCTACAGTAGATTTATTACTAGGCCTTTCAACTAATGTCCATACTTTACTTCTCTCAAATTGATTTAACTCTTCTTGCATAGCCATAATCCAATGTTCATCATTTAATGCTTCTTTAATATTCTTAGGCTCTATGCATGAGATAAATGCAACATAATTACAAATATTTCTAAGAAAAGATCGAGTTGTTACCCCTTTTGATGGATCACCTATAATTTCACCATCCTTGACATAGTTGTACTCTCTTGGATAAGATACTTCCCTTTCTTCAATGGTTGGATTCTCAAGAGGATCACGAGTTTCCTCATTTTTCGTTTCTTCCTTTGATGATGGTTCTCCAACGTCATGTCTAACGTCATTTGTATTTATAACACCTACATCATCATTCACATAAGAATCCTTCCTCGGAAGGGGATTATCATCGAAAACAACATGTATAGACTCTTCTACAACTAAAGTTCTTTTATTAAATACACGATGGGCTTTAGAATTTAAGGAATAACCCAGAAAAATTCCTTCATCACTTTTAGCATCAAATTTGCCAAGGTTTTCTTTACCGTTGTTTAAAACAAAACATTTACATCCAAAAGGATGAAAATAACTAATGTTAGGCTTTTTATTTTTGAAAATTTCATATGGAGTTTTCTTTAAAATTGGCCTAATCATTACTCGATTTACAACATAACAAGCGGTATTTGTGGCTTCCGCCCAAAAATATTTTGGCAAATTATTTTCACAAAGCATGGTTCTAGCCATTTCTTCTAAAGTTCGATTTTTCCTCTCAACAACTCCATTTTGTTGAGGGGTTCTAGGTGCTGAAAAATTATGGCTAATACCGTTAGAGTTACAAAATTCAGTAAATCCAAGATTTTCAAATTCATTTCCATGATCACTCCTAACACTAGTTATAGAGTAACCTTTTTTCATTTTGGATTACTTTTGAAAACGTGATGAATTTTTCTAATGCTTCATCTTTAGTATTTAAAAATAGAACCCAAGTATATCTAGAATAGTCATCTACCAAGACAAATGCATATTGTTTTCCACCCAAGCTAGTAGTTCTAGTTGGCCCAAAAAAAGATCTAAATGGATCAATTGTAAAACTCTACTAGTTGATACATCATTAATGGATTTAAAAGAAACTCACTTTTGTTTTCCTTTAGCACAAGCATCACATATTTTATCATTATCAAATTTAAGCTTAGGCAACCCTCTTACTAGGTCTCCTTGAATTAACCGTTGCAAAACACTCATACTAGCATGTCCTAGTCTCCTATGCCATAACCAACTATCATGCTCATCCTTAGCAACTAGGCACAAAATAGTCATATTAATAAAATCTAAATGCATCATGTATATATATATATCCCTATTTTATGACCAACAAGCATAATCGAAAATAGATGCAATGTTAATCAATTTTGCAATCATTTAAAATAAAACATTGTATCTTTTATCAAATTTATTTTTCAAAAGATTATGCTTTTAACCCATTCACATATAAAACATTATGCAATGTTGATTATAGAGATTAAGAGAACATGCATAAAGTTTTTGAAAATATTATGCATTAAAACTTTATAATATTTAAACAAAAAAAATCTATGCATAAACATTAAGAAAAAAATTTCATGTCAAAATTTTGCAAAACCAAAGTTCTTGAAAAATCGATATCAATTGTTAAAGAGATATCAATTACTTTTTAAAAACAATTTTGACCAAAAATTAATATGATGAACTAGAGTTTATAAAACATTACCAAAAATTACCATGTTCATCATACAATATTTTTCAACATACATGAGATAAAACATAATTCAACATTTTAAATCTCATGCATGCATAAACTAAATGAGCAACCAAATAATAAAAACATTAAGTTTAGAGGTTACCCATTCCCTTTTTATGTGTGGCTTAGAGCATCTTGAATATCATCATCTTTATCACAATTGCTCTCACACACCTACAAGAGACATTTAAGTAGATTTTGGTATCCAAATTGCTTTAGATCCTTGAACATTAGTTTCAATGCCTCTTGTTCCTTTTGGAACCCATACTTGTCTAATTTTAAATCGTTTTCCTTTCTTTAAAGGACAAGTATGTTCCTTATGACCATGATAATGACAAAGTGAACATATTGTCATTATTGAACTAGATGAATTATTTAGAATGATCTCTTTTTCTCTTGTTAAACATTCAAGCTTATCTTTCAAATTGAAATTTTCTTTTTCAAAACTTTCAAATTTCATTTTTGAGAGTTCTAAATCCTTCTTCAAGATTTCATTTTGATTTTCAAAATCCATTTTCATTTCTAGAAGAAGTTTGTTTAATTTGAAAATTTCTTTTTCAAAGTTTTCAGATTTTATTTTTGAAAGCTCTAACTCCTTTCTCAACATTTCATTTTGACTTTCCAAGTCTGTTTTAGCTTTCAAAAGAAGATCATTTTTAGCAATAAATTTAGAAATCAATTTATTGTATTTGTATTTGGAGTTCATGGTCTCAAACTCCCAAAAATAATTTATCATAAGCATCTTGTAACTCATTAAAAGATTTTGAATTTGATATATTTGAGTTAGAAGATACCTTTGGCTCTGTGAGATCTAATAGAGACATCACTTTTATTGGTTCTTCTTCTTCCTTGTCTTTATAGATCTCCTCAAGCTTATCCCACATTTCCTTGGCACTTGAACAAGAAGAAATTTCTTTATACACATTAGGATCAATTGCACAACACAACATGTGCATAGCCTTTGAGTTTTGTTGAGCTTCCTTCCGTTCTTGAACACTCCACTTCTTTACCTTCTTAGTAGGAGAGGAATATCCTTTCTTGATTATCATCCAAGCTTCCATATCAAATGCTTTGATGAATATCATCATACACCTCTTCCAATGATGATAATTTATTCCATTGAAGTGTGGAGGCACGTTAATTGGTCTGGATTCTTCCATGGAGAATGAACCGGAAGTGGACGCCATCTTTATCGATTTAACTCTTCCCGGATCTACTCAAGAGGCGGTTAAACCTTCAAATGAGTTAGGCTCTGATGCCAATTATTGAGTTAATCGATTGACGGAATTGGCCAAGAGGAGGGTGAATTGGCAATTAAAAATTTGGTGGAAGCTTTTGCAGAAAATTGAAAGAAATTGCACAGCGATTTAGAGTGGTTCGACTTTATCAACCAAAGTCTACGTCCACTACCTTAACTATCCACACTAAGGATTTTCCAACAAATTCACTAATTTGTTCTTTCTTTTGAGGCCAAAGAGATAACCTTACAACTCCCTCAAGAATATACCCCAATTCTTGAGAACACTCTTTTCTCAAAGAGAAATACAAATTTGCAAACTTACAAGAAAAACTCACAAGGCAAATATGTTTGCCCAATTCTAGAACAAAGAAAGAACACTCAAGAATAAATACAATTGAGCACAATAAGTGTTCTTGAAAGCAAAATGAATATTGAATGAAAAATAGGCTTGAAATGCTCAAACTTGAGGTTTGATGCTTTCTCTTTGATTCTCTCTTGATTCTAATTGCTTGATGTTTCTTGTTCTTGATCAATGGCTTCTAAGCTTGCTTAAATACACCTTGAATCACTTCTGAACGTTGGGGATGATTAGAGAAAATAATATAGCTGTTTTAGTGTGAAAACAATTAATAAAACAGCTTGGAGCGTGGGGGGAATCGGTACCCCCTATGGGGAATCGGTTCCCTAAGTGTAAAATTCAAATATTTCGACCGTTATACAAGGGGGAATCGGTACTCCCTGGGGGGGGAATCGGTTCCCTCCGAGCATACTGGAATTCTCGGAGCCAAACCATTCAAGGGGGAATCGGTACCCCCTTGGGGGGGAATCGATTCCCTCTGAGCAATCTGGAATTTTTTGCTTTGAAATGGTTCGAAATACTTTGTAAAATTATTTTGAAATTGTTTTAAGATTAAAACTTAATTTTACACTTTGAGTAAGGATTAAAAATGATCTTTGAAAGATTTGGAGTAATGTTTTGATATTCGAATAATTCTATCGAATATACTTAGAAAATCATTTGAAAAATCTTAAAATTCATTTAACTTAATTTGTTATATCGAAATATCAAAATGTTTTCAACAAATTGGTTTGATCTGCTTTGTTGGGCTATTAAGACATGGAAAGGGAAGTATTTGATTACCAGTATCTTGAAGCTTTCTTGGTGCTCACTTAACTACACCATTTGGGAAGAGAGGAACCGACGTATTTTTAGACAAACCAACATATCGGAAAACCAGATTCTTTATACAATCAAACAGATTGTATGAATTCAGCTTAGTAATAGGAATGTTAACAGATTAGATAGAACCAATCTTTCTCTTTGTAACTTATGGGGGATAGACTGAGTTTTGTTGTTTCTAGGATCCCCTTCATTTGTTATTGTTGAATGTTTTGTAGCAGTTTCTGCTATTATTTGGGTAATAAAATTCTAATTATCCAAAAAAACACTAAAAAGTTGATAAAATAGTAACATTTATTTTTTACCCTTCAACTTTGTAAAAAAAATAAACTCTTACTTCTAAGAATAATTTCATATTTTAAGAGTAAGTTTAAATAATGGTAGAATTATATTCTGACCCCCAAATAATAATAATGCTTTTAATATCAAAACGATTATGTGTATTATTTATTTTAAATTATATTCTGTCCCTTTCAATGCTGTTGTACCAAATAACAATAAATTAAGATATATATTTACAATTTAGAATGTTAAAAGAAAGTTAGAGTAAATATGCATTTTGGTAATTAGATTTAGTTTGTTGTTTAAATTGGTATATATATTTTATTTAATTAGATATTTAAATTTCGATTATTCTATACAAATCATCCTAAAGTGTAGTTCTGTCAAATCTTTTAAAAGTTAGTGCTGGAATTGACACTATAATTTGATTTCTAATTTAAACCTTATCCCTTAAACTTTTAATAAAGTTATAATTTAGATACTATATATTAAAAAATAAATATTAAATTAATTCTTGAACCCGTATAAATAACACCAATATATTCAAAACAATATAACCGCTATTGTTTTCATCTTAATACCTTCCATGTGTCAGTTGTTCAACGATGAAAGTATACAACCATTATATCCTTCAAATTTTGATTAGCTCAAAACATCTAACTCTTTTTTATTGAAATGGTTTTCTGGCAAAATAACAATTTTGTAATAAAAAGACAAATCAAAACTCCATCTCCCACTCCAATTATTACAGGAATTCAAAGCTCCTTTGTTTTTGTTTTTTAAGTTGATGAACGTGATTAATTTCACACGATGATTTCAACATAATTGAGAGCAACAGGGACCACAAATTATTTACATCTTTGGCTGTCTCTCTAATAATTTGCTTTTCAAAGTGCCCAAAACATGAGTTCATACCAAAAATCTGCTGTCAATGGCGGTGGCGGTGTATAATCCAAAATTTGTATTCTAAGCCAATTTGCAGCATTGTATTGAGGCAAGACTAACTATGAAGGAATCATTATTTTCAACTATATATTTTGCTAAAAGGTGTTTCAAATATATATTTTTAAAATTGTCATATACTATATAAATATAATACTTGAATGAAATCATAGATTATTGCATTTTATATAGAGTAAACAACATGTTTAGTATTCTAACTATCACTTTTGTTCTATTTTGATCACCCAACTATTCTTTGTTTTAAAATCATACTTAGCGTTACAATTTGATTTTATTTCCGCCACTCACTGTTAAAAAATTAGCAGTGATGCTTATGTGGTAAGCAGTTTGTTATCACTTAAGTATGTTTGGAGTTCGAGGCCTTATATATGCAGAAAATCTCTGCTGGGAGACTCACTCACTAAAGTCGGGTATACGATATAGGTCGATCTGGATTAGTCAGGGCAAAATCCTAGGGAACTGAGAGGACAAGCAAAAAAAATAGCAGTGATGCTTATGTGTCACCATAAGTTAATATCACATCATCATTGCAAAAAAAATTAAAATGATAGATTATAGTTATGTTAATTTTTAACACCGAGTGACCGAGGTAGACTCAAAACGTATTATTAGTTATGGTTTTCAAAAAATAATAGTGAAACGATTAATATGAAACAAAAATAATAATTGAGATAGTAAATGTGTAGTTTACCCTTTTATATATTATGATATTATATAACGTGCATACCCTACCTAAGTATATCTCCTTTTTCCAGATTTTGTCGCCAATAATTAAGAATTGAAGAGCTGGAGCTACCACGTTATAATGTCCGACTGCCTGCCACGTGCAACCGAAAAGAAGTTCTCCCTCTCTTACATCATTATTTTAAGCTAATGGTAATAATTTAGAATGTGTTTAGCCATTTGCTAATACTTGGTGTTGCAATGGCATGTGCTGTAGTTTGCTGGATTTATAATTTCAATAAATCAGATTTTGTATAGTTATATTAGACCACGATTAAATCTAAAATCAAACTTTTAAATAAATGTAAATCATTTTATTATCAATTTTTTATAGTAATTGAAGTATTGAACGTAAAATATCAAAATTCTTATTTTTGAACCCAGCAATACTATACAAAATAAAGAGTCGGAGATAAGCAATATAAGAGCTTCATTTAGAAGAACAAAATTTACACAGAATTTACCGACTGTATTCCATTGAAGAACACCTCTATGCAAGAACTTTTGGACATTAATTTTTCACAAATTTAATTACTTTGTACCGGAGGTAAACATAAGAAGTAAAATTCACCTCTATTTTGTATTTTTGTTTGTAAGATTATAACTTTAACGATTTTCTTTTTTCTTTTATTGAGTGAGAGAATTGAGCAGTGAAACCCTAGTTTTTATCAAGCTCCTGAAAGTTTTATCACTGCTGCTTTCGACGTCAGCTATGCACCGTTCCAGCTCTTGCATTCTGTTCAAAACCATCCTCAGTTCATCGTCTTCTTTCTTTCTCAAACCCCACATGTTGGCTTCACCGATTTGTTGGAACTCTTTGATACTTTCCTCGGCTATAACTTTCTTAGCCTTTTTCGACAGTGTCATCCCCATCCAAGACGATTTTCTCGAACCAAACGACGTCGAAATCCCTTTAAAAAGCGCCACCGAAACTAAAACAGTCACTTCGACGACGTCGATGATGAGACCGGTGAGCTCGGTGTCTGCGATAGACACAAAGGCTGATCCAGAAAACGAGTACGTCCCAACGCGTCGAATCATCGACACGAGTTTAGCGATCTCTTTAGTCATCTTCCTGCGACTTTTCAAATACACAGCGATCCTCGAATCGTCTTTCCTCCTCAGAGCCACCCTCGCCGCGAGTTGTTCCTCTTTGAGCGCGAGGAACGATGACTGGAAGATCCCGTAAACATCAACGAAACGCAAGAAATCTTCGAGGATCTTCTCGACCCATTCACGCTTGTGGCTCAACAGTTCACGCGTCTGCGGGAGCTGAAGAAGATCATGCAGAGAATCATGCACGTCCTTTAAACGACCCAAACCATCACAAAGCCAAGCCGAGGTCCGGTTACCGAGGTTCCAAGACCATGTTTTGAGTTCAGTGATTTCATCTCTGAGTTGGGAAATCAAGGGGTGTGATCTACACGGGAGAGAGATGGATCTAATGTGGTGAGAGATGGGTGGTTTAGATGGACGGTTTAAGGCTTTGTTTGGGAAAGAAAGGGAACGCCTGAATACGCCAACCATCTCTTTTGATCGATTCGTTGGCTCTCTTTTCTTTAGAGTAATGTGTTTTTGACAAGGAAATGTAAAGTATATATAAAAAGGAAGAATAAGTAAGGCGCACGAGGGGATGGATTAGAGGGGGACTGGATCCGCGAATAAATATAAGGTGTTGGAGCCATTAAACTAAAGAAACCAGCCATGTGGCCTTAGGGTTTACAAACCGAGGCGCTTATGGCTTCCTTTTCCTGTGGACAGGAGACACCGCGTTGGTTCGACACTCTGGCACCTCTGTAAGTAAAACTTAGCCAGTTCCTGATTGCTTGACTGCCTGCCTGTTATTAGTTTTTAGGGTAAAATATAGCCCAACTCACTAGATAATTAGTTTAGTTACAAACTTGTTTCTTCTAAAAATTATAATTTAATCGATTAATTAAAATATTATTATAAACAAGTCATTTTATTGTTATAACTGAAATATATGTATAATATGGTATGATATAATAATATTCTTATACTTAAAATTTATCCACCCTACCAACTTAATTCTAATTTAAAATAATTCAATGAATTTAACCATTTATATTTTAAATTTTCACCAATTTAATCCTTTTTTTGATACTCTCAAACCAAATGAGTCTATCAAATCAAAACAACATTTGGATAAATATGTTCTGCTATAAAGCATTAACAAATTATTAATAAAAGCCTTTTCTCGGTGGATATTAGCAAATTATGTGATTGAACAAGATTTACTTGTAGCCTTACAAAGTATATGTGAAAAAAAAATTATGACCCTATTATGATATTGGTCGACGAATGGTAGAACTTGCACTCAGTGTTTTTAAAGTATCAACAATATATATATGAATTTGAGCCTGTGATGAAATACATATTTCGTGTGAAGAATTTATCAACTATATTACTTGGTGTCCCACACGGAACGATAAACACAATGTCACTATTGGTAAAGTTCAACACTATATAAGATATTGAAAATAATTCTAAGCAACATGAAAATCATATTATATTTTGAGAAAATAACAAAAATTGAAATTTGTAGTCATTCGTTCTAATAATATTATCACTTAGATTTAAATCTAAATTCTTTCTTTAATAATATAATATACAACTCTTATCGTCACAGTATGCCCTTATTAATCAAGTCAATAGCTGGTTGGTTACAAATTACAGGTAAACTTTGGAAGCAAATGCTTACAGCCAATGGCTGCACCAGTCATTCATATGGTGAGCTGATAATTAACATAACAAATGGTATGGACCAAGCATGGGGCATATGCCACAACTGCTTTCAGTTTCATTTTTCTAACCAAATACTCATACAAAACAATCTCAAGGGGATTTAGCTGTCACCATTAATTATAACAGGACCACCCCTCTACTTGCATCTGGAATCACATAAACACATTATATTTATTGATAATTTTAAATTTAAAAGTTTTAATACCAGTCATTGATTTTAGTTAAATCAATAATTTTAAAAACGTATAACTTTTAAGTTTTATGATATCTATAGATATATTATTATATAATAAAAATGCTTAGAAATCAAATATGTAATTTTAGGGTTATATTTTTTTGCATTCAACTTTGTTTTTTAAATACGAATAATTTAAATATTAAAAAAATATTTATTGGAATATTAATTTAATCTATGTTTACGAGGGTAGCCCTTAACTTTTAAACGCGTAAAGGAACCAGTTGCACGGGTAGTTCCAAGCTCCCAACTTCTAGGTAACCGCTGGAATATAAACATTATGAATATTGTGCAGAGCTAATTTAATGTTTGGCGTCGTACCTGGGAATTGATGAAGGTTTACACGGAGCTCTTAATAATCTGTAAAATTAATAAATTAATTATACCAAATAATAAAGTCATTCTTTAAGTCAACTAAATGGCTTTCGCTAGATTAATCCTCTCACCTCCCTTTCTTCACGGATAAAAAAGAATATACTTTATCATCACAAATGGCTACGTATCTTTTACCAGTTATTTACTTTATTATAAAATATTAATAAATATCGAATGTAATAATAAAACATTACACTATATTTCTAATAAGAAAACTAGACTGGTTTGTAGCTATTCGTTTCTATAGTGATTGGCTGATTCAAAAACATACAACCAAATAACTGGCTAGCAGCAGTGGAATTCCATAGACGCATTCTTGGTAACCAGACATGACAGATAACGCTCTCAACAACTTGCCTTCAACTGCTCGACTATATATTATAGATTTATAGTTTAAATAAAGATCTCAAAATTATTTCCTTAGCAAGAATCGTGAGGTTTAAACCGTTAAGTGACCTCATTGATAAAAGGAAATGTTGTTTTCCTAAAAGATTATGGGTTCGAGCATATGCAGATATAAGGTGTGTGCGTAGTAAATAGATTGAGAGAGTCATGAATAGATATTATCTTATAATCAAATTCCAAACTATTAAAAAAATCGTTAAACTGGGCATTCTAGTTTCATATTGATGTTAACGACTACTTTTTAGCATTTACTTGTATGTAAGATTGGCATTGAATCAGACCACGTGCAAGCAGCGATGGAGATGATTAGAAGGCATCTTCACCGGAAGCTAACGACCGAAACTCATAACCTACTTTAATTAGGTATTTGACAAACAAGAAACACACAAAAATGTGGGAAATGTGATGATCTCTTAGATGTCATCAACTAACCTGCTTTCCTTAAATACATCATTTTTTATACAACAAAAGATAGCCATAACTATTGCTAACTACTAAGAAACGAACTTACAACTTGCTAACCAAACTAGCTACAATATATATAATTAGAGATGGATCTAAAGGATGGGTGGTGGTGGCGAATCCAAAAAAAAAAATTTATAGACCGGCCAATATAAATATAATAAAAAATTATTTAAAATAATTCATATATATTTTTAATTTAAAAATATAATAACAAAGTATATATATTTAGATTAAATATAGAAAAAATATATTAATTGGACCAATATAATTTAAAATAATTCATACATATTTTTTATTTAGGGTAAATTAACTATTCGGCCACCCACCTATTATTTAATTTATATTTTGGTCACTCAACTATTATTTTTTTCAAAATCATATTTAACCTTACGTTTTAGTTCTGTTTTGATCATCCACCGTTAAAAAAATAACAATATGTTAATATGACATTTTTAATTAATTTATATTTCAGTTTGTATATGATTAATTTGATCAGTTTCTTGTTAAACTTGTATCCAAATAAAATTTACCTTCGAGCTTTAACGAAAATTATTCCGTGCTCGTAAGTGAAAATTTTAAATTTTACAAGTAGTGCTTCAAAAGTTTGTCGCAACGATTTTGGTGTCGTGTGACAATTTTTTTAGAAAAGCAAAGGGAGTCGTCGTTAGTTTTTTTTTTTAGATGTGATTGATTCACTTGAGAAATTTTATTATTTTAATAAAATTTTATTGTAAGTTAAAACAATAATTTGTTATATGCAAAAATCAAAAAATGCACATAACCTATACCGACATCATACCGCTACTAGAGAGGGATGTGTTAGGCCCTCCCTATGCCATACATGTTGCAATTTAACCAAGTTAACCTATTTTCATTAAAAAAAAAAAAGAGTTCAGACTAATAGGGTGCTAATATTGGGTGGTGGTTGTTTCGAGTCAGGATTGATAGTGTTAGCTCAGAAGCCCAATAACCAAGATTTGGGTCCGACTCTGTCATTTCATCGATCTGGTAGGCCTGGTTTAGGCCCCAAATTGCTGCAAACAAACACCTTTCCAGAAGTTTCAGTCCAGTGACACGATGACGACATTTCCAGTTTTTGAAGTAGAAAGATGTCTCAGGTTGAATCAAATTAAAGAGAAAAGTAGTTAGCTTTTGGGATTAGCATCAATCATTTAATCCATTTGTTGCTTATCATTACAATGTTGAATTTTTTAAAACCACTCTTCAAATGAGACAAATTCTGGGATAGATTGAAAAGTAGTTGTGTTGTTTGAGCCGTTGGGATGTGAAAACGAAAGCACCTGCAATGTTTGCCTATTAACAACCAAAGGCTCGGGGTCCCCGTAGAGGGTAGACGTCCCTACGCCTACAATCATGTGATAGTGATGGCGTTACATATTAAAAGATGTAATATTTACATGGTCAACTACAGCAAAAAGCTAGCCTTTCCTACGTATTAGGATTTTGTTAAAAGCTTGGGATGAAAATAAGGACCACATGCCTTCTCCTCCTCCACGCATTTCCCACCTAACCTTTTAAACTGCGCGTATGATTTTATGGATATAGTTGAACGACTTAAACATGTAGTAAAGAGTTAATGATAAGAGACAAAAAAGAGAAATGAGACAAAGATTATGTCGAGATGGACTGTTTCCAACTTCCCTATTTAAATTTTAGGTTAATATACATTTTAGTATCATAAAATCTTTTTATCCAATTACATACTTGAATTTGATTTCTTGATTTAAGGGGATACATATATTTGGCCTTTTGATCCAAAGTGACACTTACAATGAATGACTTATTTGAACCAAATCATGAAGTTAAGTCCAAGTATCAATTTGAAACAAAATGACTAGATCAAGTACCTAATTAGACCAAAAATATTTACAAGTCAAATTGAATCTTGAGGTCAAGTTTAGATACCTACTCGAACCAAAAAAAAAAAACTTAGATTCCAATTTGAATCCTGAGACCAAACTTGGGTGTATATTTAGATGTAAATAAGAATAGATATCAAACTGATTCTTAAGGCCAAGTAAAGTGCAAACACACACATTTAATAAAATTGTACACGTAAAATAATAATGAAGGAACCTAATTGATATTATAATAATTGTACATGTAATAAGTGTACACACATTTAAAATTCAATTCATATGTTTAGAGATCATCACAATAGATCCAAGTTTCCTTTCAATAATAATGAAGGAACCTAATTGATAAAGTGATGACATTTCAGGGACTTGATTAAAGCATTTTAAACCTTCAAACTAAATTGAAATCTAAACTATCAAGCTTTCGTTGGCATTCGAACGTTAAAGCTTCATCGGCTTTAATTTCAGGGTCTGCACAAGAATCATTCCTCCACGTCAGGGCAGGCGAAGAGAATTTGCCCAAATGGGTTAAAAGTAAAAAAGCACGCATTTGAGTTTGGAAGGATTCTGCAGACAGGCCCACTTTTGATTCAACCAATAGTAAAAAGCAGTAAAAGTTAAATATTTTATTGCAGTAATCATCATTCTGCACACACAAAAAGAACAAAAAATAGATGCATGATTTCCCTTTATGGTTTAATTTCAAAAATGATATTAATGGTAGCTTTTGCCGTGTCAATATCATCATCATATAGGATTAAGACGTTGTACACATTTTAACTTTTAATAATTCTATATTTCGTCTATTAAACACTAAAACCATATCTTTTTAAAAATTAAATCAAATAATGTAATATAGCATATCCAACAATGTGCAATATAATCTTGTATATGAACATATCTTATTTTTTTAATTATAATTTTATATTTTATAAAACAAACGACTTTAAAGATTGAAGATACTATATAATTAACATTTAATATTAATTTAATTATTTTCATTAAACATTAAAATAAATGTTGTTTTGTACATAGTTTCAATAAAAATTTCATTTTTTTTTGTATTGTAATAACTTGTGTATAATTTAAAAAAAAATGATAAATAACTATATACATGCTAGACATAATGTTAAGAAAGTCTGAAAATGATCGAATCTTTTATATATATAGAGGACAATCCTAATTTATTGTCTACATATATCACATTATAATCATCTTAAACTATTAAAAATACAATCATGATTTTTTTTTGATGGATATCTTCACCGAATAAATATCACTAAATACAATTAACAATTTTATTAATAAATTTTAAATATATTAATTGTATATAATTTTATACATTATTAGTAAAATAGACGTGTTTATTAACATAAATTTATTTTAAATTGCAAACTTATAAAAGTATGAGGATCAAAAGAGAAAAAAAGAAAAATGAAAGAGACGTTATTCCCCTATCCCCGCCACCTTTTCGTTTGTATAAATCCCAGTCAACTGGTTCCAAGTCTTTACTCCATTTTGGTTTTTTAAGAATTCGTTTTTTATTTTCGAATTTCACCATTCTTATTATTCACGAACGTTGCATCATAAATGCACCACAAAATTGGAGGAAGATAACGGTTGAGGCTATAATTTTGATCCCATAGAGCTGTAGCTTTTTACTTGTATAAAGTCATTGATTTGATTGATAGACGAGAAGCCATGTTTTCACAGCCTTCAAAATCTTGCCTTGCTTGATTTTGATCCCTTTACTGTGTTTTTGTGCCGTGCAGGGCGTTTCAGTTCATGGGCTGCGCCGCCTCGAAACTCGACCGGCTCCCGGCGGTCTCTTTGTGCCGCGACCGTTGCCACTTCCTCGACGGCGCTCTCCAGCAAAGCTACGCCCTTGCCGATGCACAAGTGGCCTACATGCGGTCGCTCAAGAGTTTGGGTCCCACCCTCCGGCATTTCTTTGATCAGAGTCTCAAATCTACGTCCAGCGATGACTCCGTCGTGAACCCGCCGAAGCAAGCTACTCCGCCCTCCTCGCCGGACCATTCTCTCTCGAGTTCGAACTCGGATTCGCATATTCAGTTCGATACTGATTTGGAAGAGGAAGAGATGGATAAAGATTTCGGTAGCTCTTTCAACCAAATAAACACTAGTTATCATAATTATCACGGCAATACGCACCAAAACAGTGAATTCATCAACTCGGGCTGGAAAACACCGCCGCCTCCAGCTCCGAGGAGCGCCGCTTGGGATTATTTGAATTTTTTTGACGAGCTTTATGATAGATACGAGTTGCCATATTCTTTGAGCAAAGCAGTGAAGAACAAAGAAGGATCTCATTATCCTGAAGCACACCCAGTAAAGCAAATTCATGGAGATGAAAAATCCACAACAAATAATATAAAAACAAAAAGAGAAGAAAATCAGAGCGGAGAAGCTGTTCCATTAAAGAGCAGTGAGGCGCCTGAAAGCAAGAAGAAAGTAGATTCACCCACTGATTTAAATGAACCCAGAAATCAAAGTGATGAACTTAGTGTTTCTAAGGTAATGGAAGAACTACAGGCTCTGTTTGAGAGAGCTTCAGAATCTGGAAATGAAGTTTTGAAAATGCTCGACACTGGAAAATTTCGTTATCATCACAAAAAATCTGTTTATCAAGGTAAAATGTTTAAACCCCCCCCTTTTAACTTAACAGTTGGTTTCTCATTTTCAATTACATAGTTTTGATTGTTCATGATAATGCAGGTTCAACGAAGATATTCCACATGATTTCTTCAAATTCATCGGAAACAGAGTCTTTATTGTCGAAAGAGAAGACTGGTTCAATGGATGATGACGAGAATATTAGTTCACAGAATCTATCTTCAATTCTGAGGAAACTGCGTATGTGGGAGACGAAACTCTATGATGAAGTCAAGGTATGGGTCAAAATGCTTTTGAAAATCACTTTACCCTTTTAACTTTTCCTTTTTGTTCACCTTGGTGAGCCAAAAAGGTGAATAACTATAGGTAAATACGAGGATAAAGTATTATTCTTAATGTAATTTTTTAAAAAGCTTAGTTTTTTAGGGCATCATTTCATTTATTGGAAACAGCTATACCCATGTGATTTGAATTGTTAGAATACAACCCAGTATGTGTATTGTGGAAAATTTAAAACTGAAGGGACAAAAACCCCATTGATTTAATAGAGATAGTTCCAGGAAGTGTACAGTATTTTACAATGGTTTATGCAGCTCCTATAGCATGACTGAAATTTGAATTGAAACCATTATCTTTTATCTCTATAGGTTGCTGTAATAGATATGGTACCAATGGAACTAGGACATAGTTGATATTGAACATACAGACTGATATTTTTGAAAGTTCCTTCCATCTTTTTGTCTTATTACACAAGGTCTAGTCTTTTAATGACCATGGTTTACCTTGTTTACTTTCATTTTTGAAGGCTGAGGAAAAGTTGCGTATAATTTATGCAAAGACGTTTAAGCAGATGAAAAGCTTGAACCAGAAAGGTGCTAATGCTCGAAAAGTCGACTCCACTAGATCTTTGGTAAGGGTCATATCTACTAAGATGCGAGTTGCAGTTCAAGTTATCGACAAGGTAGCGATTACTATAAATAAGCTGATGGATGAAGAATTATGGCCGGAGGTCAATGAGCTGATTCACAGGTACATTTTTAATCTAGTGAACATTATTTTGTTTTACATGATTTTTTTGTGCAATTCTCAAGAACACAATGCAAACTGCAAATTACTTGTTTTAGATTGTTTGGAATGTGGAAGGTAATGCTAGAATGCCATAGCTGTCAGTGTCAGAAGGTTATGGAAGCCAAATGTTTCGATTTCATTGCCTTGAATGAAAAGCTTAATGATGTTCATCTTGAAGTGGCAATGAGACTAAAGCTTGAGCTTCAAAACTGGAGTCTTAGCTTCTCCAGTTGGATTGAAGCTCAGAGGGGCTTTGTCAAAGCCTTGAATGGTTGGCTTCGAAGATGTATCGTATATGAACCTGAGGAAACAGCAGACGGTGTATCACCTTTATCTCCTGGTAGAGGCGGAGCGCCCCTTGTGTTTGTGATCCTTAACAAGTGGTCGGAAGCCATGGACAAAGATAAACTCTCGGAGAATGAAGTGGTTGAAGCAGTACACGGACTTGTAATGAGTGTAAACCGAGTGGTGGAACAGAAAAATACGGATATGTTGCAAAGGATTGTTGCTGATAAGGATATGGAAAAGAAAGTAAAGATGTTGGAAAAAGAGGGGCAACGGATGCAGAAGTTACTGCAAGCTCGAGCAAAGAAGATAACGCGGTTTGCTAGGGAAGAAAGAGATGTCCTTCTACCAAGAGACACCACACGTCACAGTGATATTAGGGATGCTGGTAGTTGGCCGTATGGTCTAAAGCAGATTTTCAGAGCAATGGAGAAGCTCGCTACCCATTCCAGGCAAGCTTATGAAGATATACATAATTGCATAGAAGACAGCAAAGCTCCTCAAGATAACCCCTAAAGTCCTCAACCATTCATGGTAAAGGTACAATATGGCTTGTCGGCTTCTAAACTGCATCGTTTTTCGGTTGAAACAAGTTATTCAATTGTGGTTTTGGCAGGGGATATTGGGACCTGGTTTACCCTGATGCATGGCTCTGAAACTACTAGGAATGGTTCTTGCCTCTTGGCTATTACCTTCCCTTGTTGAAAGTGAACCAACTCACTTGTGATCATGGTCGGTAGGCATCTGTCTACCCCCTCATTTGTCTTATTGATTAAGATGAAGTTTGATTGTATTTTGTCTCTGGGATTTTACCAATGTGCTTTTGCAAGGTAGCCGTTTTCCGTATGAATTGCACTGTATATTAACCAGCATATTGTTAATTTGTTATTCTTTATTAGTTTCATCCTTCCATTGTTTAAGCATGCTGGTTCCGCAATTTGATGAGTAGAGTTTAGACTGTTTCAGGGAGATTATTAGTTTGTACTGTTCATCGAATGAAATATCTCTTCATTATTTTCTCTGTTATCATTCAATCAAATTTTGGTTTAATGTTTTCTTAAAAAACAAACTGAAGTACTTTCCATCTTATTTGTAGTAAAAAGAACCGTTAAATCTTAGTTCGATTGGCATCATTATTAACTTGTCATCACATGCAAAAGGACATAAATACGAACATATATCATGCACAATATCCTCCTATTACTGCATAAGAAAACTGCCAGTCTTACATTTCCAATTTTCATTGCCACACAATAGATTTCTTCAATTACATTCATTTTATCATATGAAAGCATACACAGATCACTTTGAAAACTAAATAGTCATAGTCGTACAAGGGCTCAATGGAGACTAAAACCTGTATAATATACAATCTATGAAACATAAAGCTCAGCTTGTCCATCAATGAAGAGGCTCATGAACTCTTCTCCATCAACAGTTTCTTTCTCTATCAGAAGTTGTGCAAGCTTGTGGAGAATGTCGATGTGGGTTGTGATTATCTGCTTTGCCCTACCGTATGCAGTCTCTACTAGATCCCTTACCTCTGCATCCACCACATCCGCGGTTGCCATGGAGTAGTCTTTTTGCGATGACATCTAAGAATCGAATTTTTGAGTCAGATAATACGAAAAAAAAACAGCATACAGAAGCTCAGAAAGGGCATAAGATCATATTCAGGTAACAAAGACATCACCTGTTGACCTAAGAAAGGATTGCCGCCACCTCCCCCGATGGCAACTTGTCCAATCTTTTTGCTGAATCCAAATCTTTCAACCATCTGCCTTGCCACTCGTGAGACTTGCATAAAGTCATTCGATGCTCCTGTTGTCACATTTTCCTCTCCGAAAATTACTTCTTCGGCAATCCTGCACAAGTAATGAGAAAGTTTCTGGAATAAGGTCATGAGGTGAATTGAATAGAAAGACGCAGGCGCCACAATATGCTATTGAAATTCCTCCTTTGATATAGGATTTTGTTACAATCTCAGCTAACCGTCCTATATCTCATCCAACACTAAAAGGGATCTAAGATTAAGGTTGTGCATTCACCTCACACCAATTGTTTAAACAAAGATAAACTTGTTAAACTGACCTTCCACCAAGCGCGACAGCCATCTGGTTCTCTAGGTAGCTTCGGCTGTAGAGACCAGATTCAAGCCTCTCTTCACTTGGAGCAAAAAAGGTAAGTCCACCAGCCTGACCACGGGGAATGATAGAAATCTTGGCCACAGGATCATACTCGGGCATAAGTGCACCAACTAAAGCATGGCCTGCCTCTGTGTATCAAAGTGCATACAGAAAGTCAAATACCCAGGATCAAATCATAGGTAAAGCAACAACCAGGGAACAAATGCATACCGTGGTAAGCAACCAATTTCTTCTTCTCATCAGAGACAACAGCATTTTTCTTCTCAGGTCCAGCAATGATCCTCTCCAGGGCATCAGATATTTCATCTTTGCTTATTTCCTTGAGCTCACGCCTGGCCGCAAGAATGGCAGCTTCATTCATCAGGTTCTGCAAATCAGCTCCAGTGAAACCTGGGGTCCTCCTTGCAATCTTTTCAAAGTCAACATCCTTTGCAAGTGCCTTCCCTCTAGAGTGCACCTACAGAATAAAAAACCATGGATCAAGAGACAGTCAATGAAAGGATCGAATATGAGCAACTCAACAATGAAGTTGAAGACAACAGCACAATTGAGCTAAATCATTCTAAGCTGCAAGTAAAAAGGCTTAATAAGAACAAAGGCATTAATAGTTTAGAACAAAGGGCCAAGTAAAGGTTGACAATGAATTTGCAAACTAATGACAAACTATTTCACTAACTTTCTCGTTGAAAGAGAACTGAAACTTCACCATGACATTACAACTAACATTATCTTTTCCTAGTGCAAGCATTCAATTTACTCAAAATATGCCAAACGCATTGAAACAAAGTAAGCAATGGGTTGATAAATGAAATGGCTAACCTGCAGAATCTTCACTCTACCGGCGACATCAGGCCTATCAACTGTAACCTGTCGATCAAACCTACCAGGCCTCAACAAAGCCGCATCAAGAACATCCGGTCTGTTAGTTGCTGCCAAAACAATGACACCGGAATTGCCAGAAAACCCATCCATCTCAGTCAACAACTGATTGATTGTTTGCTCTCTCTCATCATTTCCACCTCCAAGACCAGCTCCTCTTTGTCTCCCAACAGCATCAATCTCATCAATGAACACAATGCAAGGCGCCTTGGACTTCGCCTTATCGAATAAATCCCTTACCCTCGATGCACCAACACCAACGAACAACTCAACAAACTCTGAAGCAGCGCATGAGAAAAACGGTACCCCGGCTTCTCCTGCTACAGCTCTCGCCAATAGAGTCTTTCCAGTACCGGGAGGGCCAACTAATAAACACCCTTTCGGGATTTTAGCTCCTAAAGTTGTGTACTTGTCTGGGTTCTTCAAGAAATCAACAACCTCTTGGAGTTCCAATTTTGCCTGATCAGCTCCAGCGACATCAGCAAAGGTAACACCAGTCTCCGGTACTTCCTGGAACTTGGATTTGGATCGTCCAAAATCCATGGGACCGCCAAGCCCACCGGGGCCACCCGGACCACCTTGAGCTCGATTGAAGAGGAAGAACAATCCGGCGAAAGCAAGGACAGGAAAGAGTAAATTCCCAATAACATTGAAAAGCCCATTACCGGAATCGCCCTCGGATACCGAAATATCGACGCCGTTCATCGCTAAGATGTCGATGAGGTCAGGGTCATTGGGAACAATCACGGTGGCTCTACGGCCATCAACGGCAGTGAGTTGGAGGACGGAACCGTCTTTGCTGAACCTCACCCTCTCCACTTTCCCCTTCTTGACCGCGTTCAAGAATTCGCTGTACCTCCATTGGCTACCTTCTGGAAGATCCGAGGCTTGAGATTGAGGCTTGGGAGCAGTTAAGAGGAGGTTTTGGGAAAAGGGTGACTGGTTCGACGGGCTCGGCTTCGTTTGCTGGGCTTCAATCACCGGCGGAGGTGTCGGCTGCGCGTTATCAACGGCGAGTGCTTGTGGGGCCACGGAAGAAAACAGTAAGGCGGCTATAGTGGCATGAGATTGAAGGGCTGTAACAGTCTGTTTTGAGCTGGGTTTCTTGTTGAGGATGGACTGAGTCACTCGCAATTTTCTTGAGGTTTTTGGTGTTGGAGGAGATATTAAGAGCTGGGTTCCAAAGAAATTTGAAGAGAGTAATGAGTTGGCCATTGATGGCAAATTGGATAACTGAAAAGCTATCGGTTTCTGTTACTACAGGTAGAACTATGTACTATGGTCTGGTTTGGGTATTAATAGTCTTTTGTTGTGAAATCTGAATCGAAGAAATCAAATTGAATTTTGGGGTTTCTCACTTCTCAGTGCAAAAGACTGAAAGAGTTGGATTATGCAACGCCATGGACTTTGATGTTGCTGGGGTTGTAGCTACGTGTTTATCCTACTATTCACTCCTTTTAAATATCTTCTTATGCTTCTATTTCTCAAATGTACACACACGTATCGGAATTCAAAGCAATTACATGGTTTCACAAATTAAATTTAAAACCAGATAATGTCCACTTCGGGCTATTTTGCCGGAATAATGTATACGGGGAGGTTTAATTCCCCAAATAATGCACTTTAATTATTATTTCCCCAAATGGGGTGATTGCTATAGGAAATATGGAAAGCTCGGCGTCTTCAGATTTGATGGAGCTGTCGTCGTCTTCAACTTGGATATCCCGGCATCTTCAGCAGATGTGGAAGCGTGGGAGCTGTGCATGTATGATTGATCTCTTGGCGTCTTCAGTTGGATTCTTCATAGGAACTCTCGGCGTCTTCAGTTGGATTCTTCGTAGGAAATCTCGGCGTCTTCAGTGCTGTGCATGGGACTGGACGTGAGAAATCACGGGTTCTGCAAGGAGAGAGCACGAGTTCTGCAAGGAGAAAGCACAGAAATCACGGGTCCTGGGTCCTGTAGGGCTGCACGTCTGCATGTGGGGGTCCTGCACGTCTGCATGTGGGGGGCATGCAACTGTTGGATTTCTCGGCGTCTTCTTTACATTTAGGTAAGGATTTCTCGGCGTCTTTGCATGGAAGGCTGGATAGCTCGGCGTCTTCTTAACAAATAAATCCAATAATGCATGGATGAGTTACGAATGTGTTTATAAGAGACTGCTCGGGCTGAGGCAATGTGAGAGTTTGGGGCTGAGGCAATTCACAATTATAGAAGCAGTGAGAGCTTGAGAGGGAGATTGATCAGCAGTAAGATCACAAAGCATAGCCTGAGGTAATTTAAACTCAAGCCCTAGATCTCATTTGATTATTGTTTTAAAGGTTTAGGGTTTCATATTGATCTCATAATTTTAGTTTCATAAGTTTATTAATTTTGTGATTATATGTTGTTACACTCTGAAATAATAATTTATATGTTGTTACATAATTTGAAATAAGGTTGGGACCATTTTGGAACATTGTAAAGTTTTAGGGACCGTTTTGTAAAATTTAAGGAATTTAAGGAATAAGAGTAAATTATTAAAAGTTGCTATACTATGCTAGAATTTAGTATTAGTATGCTTAATTGGTTAAATTAGAAAGAATTTAAAATTTATGGATTAAATTGCTAACTTTGAAAATGTTGAGAACCAAATAGTAATTAGGGATCGTTTTGCAAAATTTGAGGAATTTAAGAAATTAGAGTAAATTATAAAAAAGTTGGTATACTATGCTTGAATTTAGTATTAATATGCTTAATTGGTTAAATTTGAAAGAATTTATAAATTTAGTGATTAAATTGCAAAGTTTGAAAATGTTGAGAAGCAAATAGTAATTAGGGATCATTTTATATTTGATGTTTATTTTTTATTAAAGTAGATAACATGCAATTGATTATTTGAATAAAACAATGTAATAATTGAGTGTAATATTTAATTTTTTTTTGTCTAGATTTGTTGAAACATGTCCGAAGAAAATGTTCTTTTGAGGCTAGATGGTCGACACATTTCGAGTAATTTGGGAGAACTGGTAATATGATCGACTTATTTTTTTTTATTTGAGAACGGTGTATTAATTCTAATTACAATGACTAATAAATTGCAGGATGACGAACAACGAGTCCTTCGTCCTCGACTTATCAACTGTGAGATGCCAGATCAACGTATTGTTGATAATTTGAAAACAGTGGGTTTTTATGATGTTGCTTTTGTAAGAGAATTTCGGTTGATCCCCGGTTTGATAAGTGCATTAATTGAAAGGTGGAGACCAGAAACTCATACTTTTCATCTTCCATGTGGTGAATGTACGATCACTTTGGAGGATGTGGCTTTACAACTAAGGGTTCCTACAAATGGAATGGCAGTGGTTGGAAATACAGATCTTGACATGTTTGCAATATGTGAGCGTTACCTTGGGAAGGTACCAGACAAAGATGTAGCAAAAGGGTCACGGCTGAGATTATCCTGGTTGGCAAATGAGTTTAAGCTCGATCCACAATGTAGTGAGCGAGACATTATATATGCAACTCGAGCATATATATTACGTTTGATCGGCGGAATCTTGATGCCAGATAAATCCAGTAATCTTGTCCATATACAATATCTTCCGTTTTTGGAGAACTTCTTTATGACCCGTCAGTATAGTTGGGGATCAGCAATATTGGCATTCTTGTATCGCGAGATGTGCAAGGCATCATTAATTGTTAATGATGCGTACACGACTGAAATCGGTGGATGCACGATGTTATTACAATCGTGGGCGTGGTACAGAATTCCATGGTTAACACCGATTAGCCGAACTGCAGTTGATTTTCCTCTTGCCGGAAAGTAATTTTATTGATTTAAAATATTTTATCTTTAATTAAATAAAGAATATTTTGTAAATGAAAAATAATTACAAAATTTTATTTTGATTGGTATACAGATGGAGGCATAAAATAGAAAGAACGGGGTTGGCGCACAACAACGTGAAAGAGTTTAGGTTTAAGATTGACATCAAATGCAAAGTTGATGTATATATAAAATTAATAAGTGAATTTATTTTTTATTATGTTTATATTATAATATTGTTATTTATTAATTTGTTGATTTTTATAATTATTTAATTAAATAATAACTATATAATTTTATTTTATAGTTTATTTGGAGGCCGTACCATGATCAAGAAATTAT